TGAAAAAAAAAACATAATTTTATCCCTATCCTGGTTAATTTGGGCAGGAAATTCCTCAATCCCAAAAATTTTCCCCAAAAAAATTCAGGAATTTTGTGGTTCCCACCCAGGGGAGGAGCAGCGCCGCGGCCCCGACGGAAATCCCGTCCGGAATTCTGGTCCTTTCCCGCGTTCCGAGGCGGAATTCCCGACAGAATTCCGGGATGAGGGTGAGTCCATGATTTTCCTTGGAATTCCGGAGAGGAGGAAGGAAAAAAACCCAAATTTGGGATTTATTTTCTGGGATTTTGGGATTTTTTTTGGGGTGGTTTCGTCCGTTCTCGCCAAATGTTGGATAAAATTCCCGGAATTCCGTGTTTTTCCGGGTCATCCTGGGGTTTTGTTGGTTTCTTTGGGATTGAGAGGGGAAAATGTGGGATTTGGGCCGACACTTCCCAAAATCCCTTTGGATATCGATTGATCCCATTGGATATCGATTTATTCCCTTTGGATATTGGTTTATTCCCTTTGGATATTGATTTAGTCCCTTTGGGTATTGATTGATCCCTTTGGATGTTGATTGATCCCTTTGGATATCGATTGATCGTGTTGAATATTGATCTATCCCTTTGGATATCAGTTTATTCCCATTGGATATTGATCGATTCCTTTGGATATTAGTTTATCCCATTGGGTGTTTGTTTTTTCCCGTTGGATATTGATTTCTCCCTTTGGATGTCGATCGATCCCATGGGATATTGGTTCATTCCCATCGGTTATCGATTGATCCCATTGGATATTGATTTATTTGCCTCCGTTATTGATCGATCCCACTGGATATTGGTTTATTCCCATCCGTTATCAATCCATCCCATTGGATATCGGTTCATTCCCACCAGTTATCGATTGATCCCATTGGATATCAGTTCATTTCCATCGGATATCGATCAATCCCATCCGATATTGGTTTATTCCTGTTGGATATCAATCGATCCCATGGGATATCGGTTTATTCCCCTCGGTTATCGATCGATCCCATCGATATCGGTTCATTCCCCTCGGTTATCGATCGATCCCATCGATATCGGTTTATTCCCATCGGTTATCGATCGATCCCATTGGAATCAGTTCATTCCCCTCGGTTATCGATCGATCCCATCGGATATCGGTTCATTCCCATCGGTTATCGATCGATCCCATCGATATCGGTTTATTCCCCTCGGTTATCGATCGATCCCATCCGATATCGGTTCATTCCCCTCGGTTATCGATCGATCCCATTGGATATCGGTTCATTCCCCTCGGTTATCGATCGATCCCATTGGATATCGGTTTATTCCCCTCGGTT